ACGACTACTACGACGACGACCACTACTACCACTACTAACAGAAACTTACAGGTAGAAAGGGTTCGCTCTTACAGGAAAACTGAAGGGCCTTCGGCTTGCGTGATGATCTGCGGCGGGGGTAACTGCAGCCTCAGTTGAGCCACAGCTCGCCGAACGTGTTCCGGCAAATCGTACATGCTGGAGCTAACCTGGGCAGCCGGTGCTTTGGTGTTTAGAATGCCGGCTTGTGGAATCGTAAACCCTAAACCTAATCCCTGAGCTTCGATCAGTGTTTCAGGAAATCCCTGGGGCCCGTTCCCGCCCTTGCGCTTGAGCCTAGCCACATGGCCCTATGGTAACTCCCCCCGCTCTATTTCAAAGAGCACTCGTTCCTTGTTACGGACGCCGGGTTTCGACTGGCTCACGAAAGACCTGAAGGCCAGGTACAGAAGTGTAGTGATTAGAGTGTAGAATTCAAGTTTGGGCTTAGGGTTTTGGGGCTTGGCGAAGCTTGCAACAGTATGGATTACCTTCTACTGCCCCCCTAAATATCCTAAAATGCCATGCAGCTACACCCGACACACTAATTAAGGCCTAAACGCCCAAACTTGCATCCTCAATTCCAAAGCCTGTACACCCCAAACGCATGCCTCGTCACAGATGGCATCTTTGAAGGCACGTGGTAGCTGCAGTTTTGGAACGACAGGGACCGGACAGAAGCGCCAAGTAGCCAAGGGCGAGTGCCAGTGATTAGGGTTTAGGGTTTAGGGTTACGCTTTGAAGTCATGGGGCTCAAGGCTTTGCCACGTACAGTCTGCATGTGTAGGCAGGCTGGCATTCATGCATGCATGGATGCAATAATCCCTGAGCCTTAAACCCTAAACCCTAGAAACCCCCTAAATCCTAAGCCCTAAGCCCTAAACCCCCTAAACCCCTAAACCCTAAAAACCCCCTAAATCCTAAGCCTAAAGCCCTAAACCCCCTAGACCCTAAACCCCCTAAACCCTAAAAACCCCCTAAATCCTAAGCCCTAAGCCCTAAAGCCCCTAAACCCTAAATCCCCCTAAATCCTAAGCCTAAAGCCCTAAACCCCCTAAACCCTAAACCCTAAACCCCCTAAATCCTAAGCCCTAAGCCCTAAACCCCCTAAACCCTAAACCCCCTAAATCCTAAGCCTAAACCCCCTAAGTTGCCCGTCTCATCCAAGTCACAAGCTGTCCCAACGTCATCCGCGTCAGTACCTGGCAGCTGCTCTCGGCTGTTGGCAGGCCATCTTTTTAGGGTTTAGGGTTTAGGGTTTAGGGTTTACACATATATATATATATATATACTTATTTACTTATGTTTGTATATATATATATATATATAGATATAGATATAGATATGTGCATATTACTATGATGCACATATGTCCCCAAAACCATAGTGAAGCACCTAATTTCACAATCGTAGTCGTGCATTTTTACGGACCCTCTGGGACATGCTTCCCGCTTGGGGGCTTCCGAAAATAGGGACCCTAATATAGTACCCTAAATGATGGGATCCTTATTATAAGGACCCCCAAAATAAGGTACCCCTTATATTCGGAAACTCCCACTTAGTTCCGGCGGGCAGCAAGTGAACCAGAATCCCGTGCAGCGCGACATCTTGCAGCCCTCAACCCTCATCCCAGAGATTAGCAGGCCGCAGAGCCAGAACCCTAAACTCTAAACCTCTAAACCGTAGGGTTGGGGTTTAGGGTTTAGGGTTTAGGGTGTAGGGTGTAGGGTTTAGGGTTTCGGGTTTAGGGTTTAGGGTTTAGGGGTAGGGTTTAGGGTTTAGGGTCTAAACCAGCTAGAGCCCTTTAACCCTAAGCCCTTGACTTGGCCCTCAACCCGATTTTAGGAGCCCCGATCCGACCTAAACCCCAATCCGACCTAAACCCTAAATCCTGAATCCTAAACCCTAAACCTTACACCCTGAATCCGAAACCCTAAACCCTACCTGAACCAAAAACCCTGAACCCTAGATTCTAAACCCTAAACCTTACACCCGGAACCCTAAACCCTAACCCCTACACCCTGAATCCTAAACCCTAAACCCTACACCCTGAATCTTAAACCCCAAACCCCTAAACTCCCAAGGCGCTGAACTATCAGGGAGACCCCTTAAAGGGGATCCTACTTGAAAGGGACCCTATTGAGAGGGCCTATACCGCCCGCCACCCTGAATTCTAAACCCTAAACCCTAAACCCTAAACCCTGAATCCTAAACCCTAAACCCTGAACCCTAAACAAACACCCGTTCGCCTTCTCAAACTTGCGGCCGACCCACGACGGCCGCACGGAGCCTTCAAGCAGCTCGGCCTGGACCAGGGCAGCTGCGAGGATTGGGGGTTTTAACGTTTGGAGGATTTAGGGTTTAGGGTGAAGAGTTTAGGGTTAAGGGTTTAGGGTTTAAAGTTAAGGGTTTAGGGTTTAGAGTTAAGGGTTTAACGTTGGGGTTTAGGATTTAGGGTTTAGGGCTTAGGACTTAGAGTTAAGGGTTTAGAGTTTAGGGGTTTTGGTGGCTTAAAGTTGAAAATGTTGTAAAGATGTAAGACTTTCAATTTGGGGGCTTTGGCTTTCAGGCTTAAGTTCAGGGTTAAGGGTTTCGGGTTTAGGGGTTTGGGGTCTAGGGTTTAGGGTTACCTATTCAGTATCCCAGTGCCTGCAGCAGATAACCCTACGGGTCCATGCACCCATACTGTATTCAGGCCGCGCAGGAGTCCTGTCTAGATAGTTAAGAGCCAAAATGTATACTATATGGGCACATGAAATAAGGGCTCCCCCAGGTGAGGCCTAGAAAGAACCAGCTCAAACAAGTCTTCCATCCCGCTGCCTCATTCTGACTCGTTATATAAGTCCTTTGCGCGGTAGCCTATTTGGGATTAAAATCCGGTCGTGTTTAAGATTCCATGAAGAAGGCCATACACCCTACAAACCCTAAACCCCTAAACCCTAAACCCTAAACCCAAAGCCCTAAACCCTAAACCCTGGCATTGTAGGCTCCGGAAGCCTACCCCCTGAACCTCGACCCCCTGGAGCCTTCAACCCCCAAACCCTAAACCCTAAACCCTAGACCCTAAACCCTAGGCCCTAAACTCTGAAGCCTAAACCTAAACCCCAAGCCTGAGCTCGGAAAGGTTCCATAGTGTCCCAGATCTTCCTATTTCCCGTAA